TGGGAGCCACCACAGCCCTGGGGAAATTGAGGCTCCAGAAGACCGTGGCTCTGCACTGCCCTGACACCGCTCATACACTGGCCTAGGCCAGCGACCACCCAAAAGCTGCAGCAGAAAATGCAGCAAGGGACAAAGCCACCACATCGCACAGGCAGGGCTGGAAACCTGCAACCTGCCCTTTGCATCCACCGCCTCAGTTTCACTTGTACCTGTGGGCACTGGAAGTTGCCGGCTGCAAGATTTCACATGACCCAAAAAAAAAACAACCCGCAAGCAGGAAAAAACATCCCTCCTGTGGTAAATCCCAAGCCGAAGATCACACACACATCTTCCAGCTCATTCCAGCTTCTGGGTTAGCCAGGTCAGAAACAGAACACCAAAACCCCTCGCTTTAAGCATGGGGGGATGAACAAGCCTTCCATTTGCATGGCAAACAGGAAACCCCCCAAGTTCAACCCCTTTCCAACTTAAAAGCAACAAAAAAATCTCTCAGTGGGAAATTATAATTTTGCTTGGAGATGTCATTTCCAAATGGTACATGAGAAATCACGCTCTGACCTAGCGCTGCTGACAGGCAAATATTTATCCCCACAGAATTTCCACATAAACCCATCACTTTTGTCAGTAGGTCTGGACACTAGAAGCAGAGGGAGAAGGCTGCAAAGGGGAGCCAGGAGGCACAGGGACGGGCAGCCCTGCCCAGCAGGTCAGAGCCACAGGCAGCTGTGAGCCCCTCGAAGAGATCACTGCAAACACGTTGGGTCTCCATGGGACTCATTTTGAGGCAAGGTGCAACCATTTACCACATATTCATAGCAAGTACTGAGTATTTTTCCAAAACTACTTGTTCCTTTTTTTCCAATACATGAAACCAACACAAGCCTCTGCTCCCTAGCCCCACAGCACCTCATCATTCAGTGCTGCCCTCTGCCTGGGTCAGCGCGGATCCTGTCTGACATACATTTCTCAGTAGATTAGGCAGAGTTATTCTTCTGCTCTGTGTTTTGGTACTTACAAAGCCATTACCATCTCTCACATGCACATCCATCATCAGGCCTTCAAACTCCAGAAAGTCCAAAAAAACTATTTTCCACTCACCATGCAGCCTGCCAGGCTCTGTTCTTCTACTCTGCGTTCCTTCATCCATTGAAAGACATTTCAGCAAGTTCTGAGTCCAACCAAATAAACAGATGGAAGCCTGAAAAGGTGGTGATTTTCTTCTGTGAGGGGGGAGCGGGGCGAGGGATATAGCAGGGAAGAGCCGGCTTCTGCCTGGCTGGGGAAGCTGAACTGGGCTGCTGGCGCTGCTGCCCACCTGGGGCCGGGGTGCGAGGCTCCATTCCACAGAGCCATGGGGGTGCCCCCAGCCTGGTGCCGGCTGCACCAAGCACCCACCCTCCCTGCACGTGCCCCCAGCACCCTGCGGCCACCGGCCTCTCCACACACAGCTCAGGAAACCCAACACATGCTGTTCACCTGTGTTCTGCCTGCAGATGGTTCCCCACCACACCTCTGCATGGCCCAGTGCTCCCTGCAGGGACCACGCGCTCCCTCAGGCCATCCACAGGCCAGCACCACCAAAGCACCCACTCTGCTGCAGCGAGACGGGACATGGGCGATGCAGAGAGAAGCAACCACCGGAGCCGAGGGCAAACCAGCCGCAGGGGTGCCCTGACCCCAGCACAGGCCCTGAGTGTCATTGCATCTGGACCTAGCAATCACCAGTTCGGACTTCCAGGGAAGATGTATGAAAGGATGTGGCCAGATGAGTGATAGAGATGAACAGCCTTGAGGAATGACTCATTTCTCGCTTACAAGAGGAATAGAAATTAATTTACGAATTTAGTCAGTTAAGTTGCCAAGTGTCTTTGATGCAGTTTATTTTTTTGCATATGTTCATGATCTATTGCACAGCTGTCAGAGGGGGAGGAAGGCCCTATTGAGCTGGAGCAATGCATCACTCTGGCTGAGGCAGCCAACAGCTCTCAGCAAAACCAGACTGCCCTTTAATTGGCCACAGGCTGGTTTGCTGCTTTCCCAGAGCGGGCACCTCTTTCCTCCCGGTTCCCTCTCAAGGGCCTGGAGCCTTGCTACTTTCCTTAAAGGTGGGGAATGGGGCAGGAGCCTCTTCCCTGTGCCACTGGTCAAGCACAGCCCACCAGAGACTCTGCTGATGCAGAGTCTTCTTTCACCTTAGCCAGCCTTTGTGTGTTTTGGTAGGACCTACAGCAAGTAAGGAGAATCCCCAGGGAGATATGGAGCAGGGATGGGTTGGTGGATGCTTTATTCCTTACCGAGACTGCACTAGAAAGAAACCACAGAGGGCAGGGCAAGGATGCACACACCGGAAGCAAGTGCTGGGACGCTGGGTGACCTGAGGGACCCCACTCCTGAGGGCCCCCCCTTCCCTCCAGGGGACACTGTCCCCTGCACACAGGGAAGGGCCTGCCTGGGAGCTCAGCCGCAGGGCCAGCTCCCCCTGCTTCCCGCATTACAGGTGCTTGGAGGCTTGTCAAGACACGAAGTAATTTCCTGCTTGAAGCAGTTGACAAATCTGCACAGAAACCGAACAACCCTCCGCGACTCAGGGAGATCCGGCCGCTCCGGCTCAGCCCTTCTCTCCAACACACTTTTTCCCCCATATATAATGGGGGGGAGTTTGGGTCAAGCACTCCTCTCTGCGTCATGTCCAAGGGGCTTCAGGTTTGGGACAGACATGCACCCTTCCGTGAGGTCAGCAAGAAGGGAATGCAGCAGACACAGGCACCATTCGCGGTATCTCCCTGCTCTCTCCCGAAAGCCTTCCACAAACAGGGCTATGTAGAGAAAAACCCTGGTGATTAAAGTATCACATAAACACGCAAAACCACCCAATGCACATTTACAGCCTTGACTCTTCAGTAAATAGTTGCTTTGTAGCCAGAAGCATGAGAATTAAATCAGCTGCAGGCAACAGTCTCTTCAGGGCAGGAGGTGGCACTCAGGGCTCCAACCCTGTTGTTGCGTGCAGATGGCCATTCCAGAGTCGCCTGCTCTGAGCTGTCTTCTCCCTGTCCGTGTCCCCAGCCTGCACAGCCAGGTCAGCATCCCGCACCGCCGATCCCCCACCCCATCAGGACACATCGCTGCTCCCTACTGCACCTTTTGCCTCTGCAGACAGGAAGCTCCCAGCCCCTATTTTTGAGAGAGATGAACATCCATATGACACACAGATAACAGAACACACCCAGAAGCCTTTCTTCAACACAGCCTGAAGCACACCAGAGCAGCAATGCAGGTTTCACACCTTTGCTCTAAGCAATTCACTCCCCGTACAGACCCACAAACCTCTGCAAGAAGCATGAGCACAGAGCTGGCCTGACCCTGCACGAGGCAGCATCCTCAGCCCCACCAGAGTCCCAAAAAGCAGCAGCCAAGCAGCTCCACAGTGGAAAGGGCCAGAGATAACTAAATAGCAAGCCCAGAGCTTCCTCCTTGCCAGAGATATTTATAGCAAAAACAAGGAACAGAAAGGAAAAGGAGAGCAGCCCTTACCTTGCATCAGCCTCAGCCCCAGAGACCACATTCCCTGGTGAGCACCATCATGCTCAGCACCTGCATCCCTTTTTCAGCCAAAGCAGACCCAGCAGCTCCATCCTGCAGCCCTCCACCCCCCCTGCTGCAGCACTCTGCTTTTGGGCTCCTTGTAGAGCTTCAAGGCAGCTGCCGTGGGGTGGAACATAGCAAACATTGCACTGCAGAGACTCAGTATTACCTGGTTTGGGGAAAAAGCTGAGGCCTGGGAGAGGCAGAGAGGATAAAGAATAACTTTCTTAATGAGTGTCCTTGGGGAACCCAAAGATGAAGATGCTGCAGATTCATGCAGTGAATTTCCTCTCCAAATTCCCGCAGGCCACTTGTTTGCATATTTTCCTTGGTATGCAAGATGCAACAAGCACCTCAAAGTCCCCTTGCTCCATGACCTTTCTTCCTGCAGAGAAATCACAGCCACGAGTGCCTGAGTCACCAGGCCCAGCATCAGTTGGACACTAAATGCAGCACTTGGCAGTTACAGAAGGGGAACCAGATTGCTCGGAGGGAAAAGAGTAGTCGGTCCTGGCTAACATCAAAGCAACACTGGAACTCCCATGCAGGTTTGGAGGTGCAGAAACCCTCCACGTGGTCCCAAAAGCACCAGAGACTAAGATGAATGATGGAAATAAGAGGAAATACAGTAGCTTAGGGAAAGCCATCTTTTGCTAATTTAAGTGCAATGCCAGTAGGTGTGTTCCCCTTTCCTACAGGGTGAGTTTGGACCTTGCAGTCCCCTAGGACCTGTAGATGTCCCAGCACAACACTGTCTGCAGAGCCCTGTGGGGTTGAGGAAGCAGGGTGAGGGGGAAAAAGCAACCGGTGGGCAGCCCAGGGCTCCCAGAAGAGATGCCACCCTCCCCTTTCCCATCCTCATTAGCACTCTTTATCTCCCTCACCTGCTCCCTCCATGTTTACTTCCCTCTCATTTTCTCTCCTTCCTTTTCCTCATCTCTGGTCTGTGTTGAAAACCTTTCCCCAGGCTCAGACAGATGCTATTTACCTTTGTAAAAAGCAGCAGCGTTTGGCCAGTCTAACTGCTACCAGTTCCTCGAGGGGAGAGATGTGGTCTTAGCAAAGGAACGTTTCTGCTGGGGAAACGCAAGCATCATCCCTGTAAGTGCCACTGCAGCAATGGGCGTTTGTGTTGATGTGAGCTGGGAGGAACAGGTGCTGGCTGGGAGCGAGGTGAAGGCTGCAGGGCACCATCGTTCCTCCATGGCTCTTTGCCGAGTGCTGTTCCGACCCCCCCGGTTTCCTCCGCAGTGGGCAGCCGGGTGCGAGCCCACGAGACACAGATTTCTGCAGTTAGGCAACGCAGGGCAGCCTCTTCCTCCCCACCCACCGCCCCGAGCACCCGCCTGAGCACA